CATTGATTATTTTGGATAACATTGTGTTTAGATCCGTTGAAATTGATGGACAAACTGGTGAACGACTCACACACTTATGATCACGTCTTGTCCTTTAAGAGGATTCTGTTACATATAGTCGATGACCACAACCCAGACTACGTCCAGAAGATTGTCGACTCTCGAGGAACTAATATTCTTTAGACAATCAACTCATACCATATATATTGCTCACAACTCAACACTTATTTACTGATCAATTAGTCCAATGATATCTTATGTGGAAATATATGCTAGATTTTAGATATAGTTGAATGCATGGGAATAGTAACTATTACGGTAAATAATTAAAATTACATTCAGTATAATACTGTTTGTTTGTGTTGTTTTAAAAGTCATTTATATGACATTCACTTAAATTAGATTTTAAACAAAATATCAATTGAAATATGTATTCAAAAGTAATGTATTTAAATGTTTTTAATCAAAGATCAATTGAATCAAAAAAGAAAAACAATTTTTATAATGTTTTCAAAACACAATTTTTATAGAGATTTTAATTAGGTTTGGATTTTTACAAGAATAAGGGGAAAGACAGCGAAATAATGAATGGTTTGCCATCCGATTCATATTTTAAGAGTTTTATAGCATATTAATCACAAATTATTGACAAAATTAAGGCATATTTGAAGACAAAAGTAACTATTAATTCGAGATATTATGTGTTATTCTGTAATAAACTAATGAATCGATTCTATGACTGAATGTCCGATCATTGATCTCCTCGTGAGCTATACTTCCAAACCAATTGACTCATCACTTCCTCCGAGTATTTCTTGTCATTTAATGTCTTCACAAAGCATTCAGTGGTTGTCGTCGATTCTGTCTTCGACTCAGCCATCGCTGTCTTGGCTTCCGATGACTTCTTCAACTGTTGGATCAGTTGCCGTGACGTTGAACTCGGAAAGTGGTTCCCACTGGAAGTGGTGGCGCCACTCGTCTCATCGCAGTGTCCACTCTGTGGTGCCATTTCTGCGGCCACTTTGATCTTTGTCTTCATTTTCTGCAACTCTTTCTCTCTTATGAACCGCTTCTGAAGAAGTCTTTCGTGACTTTTGGCCGAAGCCTTACCGCCGCCCACTTTGAAGCGCTTCAGTTGACCGCCCGTCCAGTTCATAACCGATCACACCACTGATGACCGCACCGGTAGATAACCAGATGTCCGGATCTGATGCGTAATACCTGTGCTGAAGGGGAATGTCGTCTGAAAGCGGGGCTAATAGTGGAGTGACTCAGAGTTGACGTCATTATTGGCCTCAAAGTGAAAGCAATTGAATGAATTGATTGCATAAAAAGTTTTCAGTTGTCTCTCATATACAGAATAATATGAATAAACCGTAACTTACAGTAAATTGACGAGAATTGTCATTTTGAATCTCAATGACTGCCACAAACTGTTGCAATAAATAACAATTACCGTTCATTTCCACTCAAACGTATGTTAACTGTCATTATCAACACATTGTCCTCACATTATTACCAATCCTTTGATATACAGATAATTACTGCTTAAAAGTCATCTCTTCTTAAACCCATTCTGTCGACTAATCGCCGGATTCCGTGACAATGAGTAACACATCCATCGGAATGGGCAGTGATTTGGGCGCCGCTCCTGTCGACCATCTCTTACCCATCGCTGGAAATACCGGTGAAGACGTGTATAATTGCTTGGCTTTTGTCATCTTCTGCGCCAAACACGAGAAGATAGCACTGACTCCAGTCGTGAATCCCGTTTGGCTCCCAATCGTCGCCTTCCCGGCCAACAAGAGGTATAACGTCGAGGAGTCCGTCCGAGTGGTGCTTAACACCAGCGATGCGCCCGAACTGGTGGCCGATATGCCAAACATTGTCGACATTCCCATCGCGTCCACCGTTTGTCTACACATCTGTCGGATCCAAGAGCCGGAAAGCAAGCGCTTCTCCACCCGATTGACACATTTCGTGAAATCAGGCGAAAGCAAAGAATACAAGTGTTGTGTGAATATGAAGCGAATCCAGTAATGGCCAACGCATTCACGACTGCATTACCGCTGTGTTTGACTCGATGCCGATCGCCCTAACCGTCGACGAGACCGTGTTTTGCGTCAATTCCGGTATTCCCAACACTAAGAGTAAAGTGAGCCGGAGTTAAATAACATGAAAGAGATTACAGAGAAAACCAATCTTATGGAAACCCTTCTCTGGCAGGTCTGTAGTCGTTTGAGACATATATGAAACACATGTTTCACGTTTCTATTCATTACATGTTTAGGTGATCAGTAACACAGCGGACATGGAGTCCAAAGATTGTGATTCTTCGGGGTTTAAGAAAGTCTCCAAAACTCAAGAGACCTATCGTTACAACAAAGAGGCGTTCAATGCATTCGTGAAAACAAATGGCTTCCTATTCGTGTTATGCGGACACATCTTGGCTTCAAATTGTATTTCGGCGATCAATTGGTCAGCATTTCGTCCACTCCTTCCTCCAAAGACGGCAAATGTGGTATCATTTTGGTTGCCAACGGACTCATTACGAAAATCTTTGGCGAGTGATTCCCATTCACTCAAGACTACTACCGCTTCCGCCAACAAATGATCTGATTTTCCGTCTATTTATGCATTCTTTCATATATTTGTATATTTAAACTAAAACTCAAAATATTTGCCTAAATTTTTGTAATTTAATCTTATATTTGTTTAAA